TTTTTCCAAAGTAATGAATCAATTTTAATTATAATTATAATAGGCGACGATGGAAATTTCTTGGGACATCGGGAGATTAAAGATGGTCCTTATGTATGGCAATCATATCGAAAAGTTCAAAAACGGGTATCGAATTTCGGATCAGGTTTAAGGAAACTGGGATTGAAACCTAAAGATCTCATGGGATTTTTCTCAATTAATACACCTGAATATGTAAGTATAACTTGCTATCATGTCTCTCCCATGTTAAGATGAAAAATCTAAATAAATAATTTCTTAATTAAATTTTAAGGTAATGACACAACTTGCATGTTATCAATACAATTTCATCTCGGTACCTTTATATGATACATTAGGAGTCGAAACTATTGAATATATTGTAAATCAAACGGAAATGGTTTATTGTTTAGCCACAGCTAATAAAGCCCGACATCTACTTAATATGAAAGATAAATTACCAACCCTTAAAACCATTATTATTACGGATCAATATGATCAAGAAATCACTGATCTTGCAATTTCACATGACGTTAAAATTGTAAATTTTATCCTTGTTGAAAAGGATGGATCCGTTCATCCCGTTAAAGCCAAGAATGCTAAACCTGATGATACCGCCATCATTTGTTATACTTCTGGTACAACAGATACACCCAAGGGCGTTGTGTTATCTCATAAAAATATTATGGCTAATGTTGCTAGTGTTAGATGGCTTGCCGAGAATGGCAAATTATTTTTAGCATCACCAGATGACGTGCATATTTCATACCTACCATTAGCTCACGTATTTGAATTGGTTAACACGGCCACTATGATTTATGGAGGAACGGCGATTGGATTTTATCAAGGGGAAACCTTGAAATTGTTGGATGACATTGCAGAATTAAAACCGACTGTATTCATTTCGGTACCACGTTTACTTAATCGTGTTTATGATAAAGTAGTAGCCGGCGTTAAGGCCAAAGGTGGCGTTGCGCAATGGATATTTACTACCGCCCTTAACACAAAGAAAAATGGGTTAAATAAAGGAAATGTTGACCATTGGATGTGGGATCGTGTAGTTTTTGCTCCTATTAGAGCTAGACTGGGAGGTAGAGTAAAAACCATTTTATCAGGTGCCGCACCTATTTCATCTGAAGTTATGGATTTCTTGAGAATTGCTTTCTCGGCTGATGTATATGAAGGATATGGACAAACAGAAAACGCTGCTTGTTTAACTATAGTATGTGCTCTTCATTTATTTTATTTTATTTTATTTTATTTTTTTATAAAATATAATCAACTTCTATCATTTATTAATTTAAATTTAAAAATTTTTTTTTTTAAAAAAAAAGACTTTGCTTGGTGATATCGCGTCTGGTCACGTTGGTCCACCACAAGTTTGTGTCGAAATTAAACTAGTTGATGTACCAGATATGAATTATACCTCTAAAGATAAACCGTATCCTCGAGGTGAAATTTGTGTTCGTGGTCATAGCGTTTTCCGTGAATACTTTAAACTTCCCGAAAAAACTGCGGAGGTTCTTGATAAAAATGGATGGTGTCATACCGGAGATATTGGACAATGGGATAAACAAGGTCGTCTAGTAATCATTGATCGGGTAAAAAGTATTTTTAAACTAGCTCAGGGTGAATATATTGCACCCGAAAAGGTAATTAGACTTTGAACATTATTTTTTTTTTTTTTTTAATATATATTTCAATGACTTGAGAAATTTCTTTCCGATAGATTGAAAAAATATACGCTAAACATGAACTTATTTATCAAGCATTTGTTTATGGTGATTCTTTACAACCTTCACTAGTTGCTGTTATCGTACCTAGTGAAAAAACACTACTGAAATGGGCAAGGCAAAATAATCTTGTAAGAAAATCTTTTCAACAATTATGTACCGATCCTCAAGTTAAAAAATATTTTCTTCAAATCCTTATCAAATATGGTAAAGCTAATGATTTGAAAGGTTTTGAATGTATTAAAAATATACACTTGGTTGATGAACCATTTTCTATGACAAATAATTTACTTACTCCAACATTTAAATTAAAAAGACATCAAGCGAGAATTAAATTCCAAAAAGAAATTGATAATATGTATACTGAAATCTCATAGAACATAATCACTTTAACGTTTAGATGACGCATTTTGCATAATATATATTGCATTAGTTAAAATGAATATATAGAAAAGTTCATATTAGGAAAAAAAAAAATGATTGTTTATTTAATATTCTTTATTTTCATTTTCATATTATTGTAAATATAATAATTAATTGATCATTTTTAGTAATAATACAAAATTTCTTTTTAAAAAACATATTGCATTAAATTAAGATTTTAATTTATATCATATAAAATAAAATTAATTCCTATTATTCATTTTTTATTATAATTCAAAAAAAAAAAAAATAATGAATGAGTTTTTTCACCTCTATATAAAAACATTTTTCTGTTCAACCATATGCCGATCTTTTGTCTGATAAGATTATTCCTAATAAGGTAAGCCGAAGACAATTAGGTTAAAAATTGAATTCGTTTAACGGTAAATTACTTTAATTTCATTATGGTAGCAAAATCAATTATTGTTACGGGAGCGTCAAGAGGGATAGGTAGAGCAATAGCAATAGAACTAATTAAAAAATTTAATAATAATGTAATAGCAATATCTCGTACACAGAAAGATTTATTAGAATTGAAGCAATATGTTGAGAATGATTTAAAAGGGAAAGGTAAAATTGAAATAGTTGTTGGAGATGTTACCAATGAGCGGGTTATAGAAGAAGCGATCGGGAAATCTATTAAATTATGGGGAAAATTAGATGGTGTTATTGCAAATGCTGGGTAGGTCGCGAAATTTTTTTTTTTTTTTTTCCAAAATATATATATATATAAAAAAACACAAATTTAACTTTGAATTCTTAATAGAGTTCTTCCTATTGGTAAAGTGGCGGACTGCAATATAGATGAATGGAAACGGTAATAAAAATCGTTTTTTAAAATTATTTCCAAACAATAAATTAAATGATTAATTCGATTTCCTTTTAAATTCAAACAAATTATTAGAAGTTTTGATATAAATTTCTTTTCAGTAATTGTTTTAATTCAAAAATCAATATCGCAATTAAGGCAAAATAAGGGAGTCTTTGTTACGGTATCGTCCGGATCAGCTAATAAATCATATTGTGGATGGTGTCCATATGGTTCGTAAGTGTTGACCATATAGCTTAGATATAGTAAACTAAAAGTTTAATTATTACTATTAATTTTTTATTTTTATTTTAGGGGTAAGGCAGCACTTAATTTGTTGACATCTACAGTTGCAGTTGAAGAACCTGATATCGTGGCAATAGCACTACGTCCCGGAATTGTCGATACTGAAATGCAAAGATTTTTACGCGAAAAAGGTATTTAACATTTTTATTTTAACGTATCATTAATATATTTTTTTTTTTTCAGTAAACTTACCTTTCCTTTTCTATACACATTTAAAATATAGGCATGGAACTGGGAATGAGTAGATCTGAATATGATCAATTTGTAAATTTATATGAATCAAATAATCTAGTTCCTGCTGAACGTCCTGCCCATGTTTTTGCTTCTTTGGTTTCTAGTGCTGGTGAAGGAATTGATTCTATTAAACATTTAAGCGGTAAATACTTTAGTTGGGATGATCTTGAAATGGAAACTCATAGGGAAAAAGTAATTTAAAGCTTGTCTCGCACATCCGCAGTAAAATACATCAAGTTTTGGGGTGATATTGCTTTTAACCTATTTATGATTGCTAATTATTAATCCGTTCACTATAAACCCGTAACATCCGTAATAAAATAATAAAATTGAAAAGTTTCAGGGTGATAGTTGCAAGGTTAATTTGTTAATCCCAGCTTATTTAGTTCACATAGAAACTAAAGAAAAATAACACCCCTTGATTTTAAATTATTATCCATAATAATATGGAACGATTGCTAAGAAAATCATTGATGATCGTAAATTATTTATTTTGAACAAAAAAATCATTTTACATAAATTTGATCAACATTGTAAGGCAGGTTAACTATGTAAACCCGAAAGTTCATTATTCATTATATATTCAGCATTATTTCGGACATCATCACGTATTTGCCACAATTTCATAATTTAATTTTAGTAATAGTATTTTTCACGCTAATTTTAATAAAATACATAAAGTTTTTACATGTTTTGATAATAGTATCAAAATTTTGAGATCTAAATTTCCAAGATGAGATCATATTACATAATATTAATTTAATCCTTTTTATCCAGAATCAAATGAAATTCAAACATACCTTTTACATCACCCACTACCAAAATCTAAGAGCGATCCGTTTTTGCAATCCTTATAAATGCGTAGCCTTTAGTAGATGCTGATTAAAAACTATGACCAGAACTCTATTCCATTCTAACGTGTTCATAGGTGGATGCAATGACCTATTCTGACTATACGAGAAAGTATTGCACAAAAAATTAAATCGAAGCAAATACTTACCTGTTATTTTAATGCAAACAAATAAATTTCTTGGTTGTGAAGCAGAGTGAAACAGTGATGGCAAGTGACCCAAATGACCTCAAATGACTCAAATGACTGGTCATGTGTCATTTGGGTCATTCCAACATTAAATGACAAATGACCTTGTCATTTAAAAATTATAACATGTGATCTCAATAATTCTGGCCAAAATAATTAATGTAATTTAATGATTCGAACATTTTCATAAATATTTCATGTGATATAAAATTTAATTCTGGCCAGCATATAGAATTTGGCCTGTATTACATTTAAATGACCAAATTACAAATGATCTCAAATGACTAGATCATTCGCTGATCATTCAGAGGTCATTTCAAAATTATCAAATGATCTGATCATTTGCTATCACTGGAGTAAAACGTGAAATATAATGATAAGAAATAAGAAATTCTATTGTCTCTTTTTTGCAAAACTTGATTAAAGTTTACTTCACAAGTCGTCCAACACTTTCGAAAGGCTAGGCCTGCTGATGAGATACTGAAGCATAAAGCCAAGCAATTAACTGAGTGTAGGGGAATGCTTTTCCGGAAGCAAAATTTGACTTTAACCCTAATCCTTTTTATCTGCCTTGCATAAATCAAATAAAATTCAAACATACCTTTTATATCATCAACTACTAAATTGATAAATCTACAATCAAAATCTAAGAGTGATCCATTTTTTGTAATTCTTATAATTGCGTGGCCTTCAAAAGGTGCTGATACAAACTATAACCAGAGCTTTATTCTATTTTAACATATTCAATTGTGATGCAGTGCTCATATTCTGATAATATGAGTTATTTCTAAAATATTAATATTGCATAAAATTAAATCGAAATAAAACTTACCTGTTATTACAATGCATCAAGAAAGCTTATCACAATAAATTTCTTAAATGAAAGTAAAATATAACGATAAGAAATTCTATTGTCTATTTCTTGTAAAACTTGATTAAAATAAAAAAATATACGCGATTTGAAATTAAAGTTAACTTCATAAATCATTTAACATTCCCGTAAGACTAGACATTTCATAAACCTGCTGATAAGACACTGAAGTATAAAGCTAAACGATTAACTAGACGTAGAGAATGCTTTCAGATCAGTAGCTAAGATCTGTGACAACTGCAGAATAACATCCTGAAAAGCTAGGTGTTTCATAAACCCGCTGATGAGATACTGGTGCATGAAGCTAGGTGATTAACTAAACGTAGGGGAATGCTTTTTCAAAAGCAAAAAAATTTAATATTATTTGTTATTTGAAAATTGCCCACTTTTATAAGTGAAATTTAATCACATTTCCAGTGACATTTAATGATTTAGATATGAAAAAATGAAAAAGTGGTAAAATATAACATAGTAATAAATTGAATACAAGTCACGTTACATTTACATTACTCAGTATAAGTAAAAATTCAGTTATTAGTCTAAATTCACGTGATGATCAATACTAGCAAACTAAATAATTTTGATATCATATTATAACAAAAATTTATTAGATTATCTAAAAATTATTTATAATGACAATAATTATAAATATACAATAAAAACTTTAATTTTACCTATTACATCTACCTTACTATTTTTCTTGTATGAAAAGCTTTTAATATACCAATTTTTTCGCTTATTAAAAATAAATTTTAATGTATTTTAAGTATTATTAACTCAGAAGTTACAAATTGTGCTAATAAATCTTCTTCCATATTGTTTAATAAACCAGACTGTTATTGATAATTTGATATATCACACAATGACTGTTATTGGATTTTATTTTCTACAAAAGCTATTATTTTACTATTAACATAAATTTTAACATAAAATTTTTAAATATTATAAAAGATATCTGATATTTTTTCATTCAATTAAACATCAATTGTTTTATAAATATTTATAGTTACTGCATGAACAAGTTTACAATCTTCAGATTGTATCTCATTTTTTATATCAAATTTATTATTTACGTCTTCATC